TCTTTCCTTCCCTCCTTTCTTTACCTCCCTCTTTCTCCTTCCATCCTTCCTTCCCTTCTCTCTTTCCTTCCCTCCTTTCTTTACCTCCCTTTTTCTCCTTCCATCCTTCCTTCCCTTCCATCTTTTCATCCTTCCCTCTTTCTTCTCTCCTCCCCTTCCTTTCATCCTTCCCTTCCATCCTTTTGTCCTTGCATCCTTCCTTCCTTCCTCCATCCTTCCCTCTCTCCCTCTTTCTCCTTCATTCCTTCCATCCATCCTTCTCTTCCTCCCTTTCTTCTCTTTTTCCTTCTTCCTTTCCTCTTTGAGGATGTTTAGTTGGGAGAAAAGAAGGTAGAGAGGAAACCTGAGAACTATGTTTCAAGATTTAAAAGGATATCCCATTGAGGAAGAGGGTAAAAACTGATTTTCTGCTCTTTTGGGGATCAGTTCTAGTGTTTCCCAGTTTCTAACTTTTAAAATACCAAGTATCTCACCCCCTTCTCTGGTCTAATCTCACCTGATATTGGTATAATCAGTGGGATATACTTCAACAATTTAAAGCAAAGAAGATATTAAATATACAGTTGGTTCAACAACCATACTTCCTCTTCCTTTTGACACAAGGGAGCAATGGTTGCAAATGGCAGGGAAAGAGATTCGACTGAAAAGATTAGGAAGAACTTTGCAGCATAGGTGGTGAAGTCTCCTTCTCAGGAGGCTTTTCCACAGTGGTTGTCTATCGGGAGTGCTTTGATTGTGCCTTCCTGCATGGCAGGGGGTTGGACTTGGGGTCTCTTCTAACTCTAGGATTCTATATCAGGAGTAGGCAATATGGGGTCTCATGGATGCACTTTTTCTCTCCTGTCCACCATCTCATCCTGACCAAAACCAACCCTTTCCTGTCTTTTTCTGTCTCCAAAAAAGAGGAAGGGGAGGAAATGGCAGGAAGAGGACTTGGGGAGAACCCCCTTCTTCCTGCTCCGGTCTGCAATGCAGCCCCCAAAATAGAAAGTTTACCCATGCTTGGTATAGGGCTTTATAGTTAATAACCTGCACCTTGAATTGAGCCCGGAAACTTGTCGGAAGCCAGTTTGGAATTACATTATATGTTCAATGTGGACTCATATAATGCAGTTTAACGGCACTGAAGTGTTCCGAACTATTATATGGCAGTGTGGACTCATATAATGCAGTTTAATGGCACTGAAATGTTCCAAACTGGATTATATGGCAGTATAGATGGGACCTCTGTCTGAGAGTTGCAACCTCTTCCCTTCAAGAAAGAAAGGAACTTCTCCCATGCCCTATTCAAGACTATTTTGAAGCCAACCTCTCTCCCATATTATTATTGTTATTGATGCTATTTGATGTTATTTTCACTGTCAGCTGGACACCGTCCTATCAGAGATACCTAAGGAGGACGAAATCATCCTCCTGGGGGACTTTAATGCAAGAGTCGGGTGAGACTTCGACCTGTGGCCAAGGACCACAGGAAAAGACGCGGTTGGAAACAGCAACTTGAGTGGCATCCTGCTTCTCACCAAATGTGCGGAACACAACCTTGTAATCACCAAAATGCTCTTTTGCCAGAAAAACAAGTTCAAGACATCATGGAAGGACCCCCGGTCAAAGCACTGGCACCTCTTAGACTACGTAATCACACGTGCCAGAGACCGCCGTGACGGGTTTCTCACAAGAGCCATGACAGGTGCTGACGATTGCTGGACAGACCACAGGCTAATCCGATCCACAGTGGCTATCAAGATCGCCCCCAAGTGCAGACTCCAAGGAAGAAAGACAAGGCTCAAAATTAACACCCAAGCCCTTCGGAAGCCCTCCAAATGAGCCCTTCTCCAAACAGCACTCAAGGACCATCTACCCATAGAAGACCCCGAAAATGTTGAGGAACATCGGAACAAACTGAAGACATCCATCATCATAGCCTATGAAGAAACGGCTCTACTCCGAACTCAAGAATGGAACACAGAATGTTGGTGGGCAGAAAAAGAGATTTAAAGATGGGCTCAAAGCCAATCTTAAAAACTGTGGCACTGACACCGAGAACTGGGAAGCCCTGGCCCTTGACTGCTCCAGCTGGAAGTCAGCTGTGATCAGCAGTGCTGCAGAATTTGAAGAGGCATGAATGGAGAGTGAAAGAGGAAAACGTGCCAAGAGGAAGGCGCGTCAAGCCAACCCCAACCTAGACTGCCTTCCAACTAGAAACCAATGCCCTCACTGCAGGAGAAGATGCAGATCAAGAATAGTCACAGTCACCTCCGGACCCACCAGTACACTGATCTTGGAAGACTATCCTACTCGGACAACAAGGGATCGCCTAAGTAAGTAAGTATTATTGTTGTTATTACTATTATTTAGATTGTATGACCAAGGGCAGGAACTGTTTTGTTCTTTTACTTGTATTCTTTATTAGCAAAGACTTCACAAAGCAATTGAACGTTCAATTTCAGCAGCACTTGGGTAAGTCTTTCATGTGCAGCATATGGCTCATTCTTATTCCATGCACTAATCGCATTCATATTTTGCTTTCTCTGTTGTATCAGTCACACCCTTATTTGCTTTTGGAAGTAAGATGTTATTGAGTCAAGAACTTATCCTTTAAGGCTGGGCACCCAATTATGGAGGGAGGTGAGAGTTAATCTGTACCTAAGCCAAGGCTTCCTGCAGCATATGTAAACAAAGCCTGACGGTCTGTTATCCAAAATGTTTGGGACCAGGACAGTTTGGGATTTTGTAAATTTTATTATGGAATACTTATGTTTGCATATATGTAAGCCCTGAGAAGAAATTAACTGATGTTTCATATGCACCGTATATGCATAGCCTGAAGGTAATTTTATGCAATATTTCAAATAATTTTATGCATGGCACACTGAACCATCCAAAAGGAAAGGTGTCACTCTCTGAATGATTTCAAATTTTGGGATTTCAGTTGGAGATGCTCAACAAGTCAGAATATCCCTGAAATTGGAGATCAGAAGAGCTAGCTCAGGCTTGGGCAAACTTGAGCCCTCCAGGTGTTTTGGACTTCAATTCCCACAATTCCTAATGTGAGAGTTGAAGTCCAAAACACCTGGAGGGCCCAAGTTTGCCCAAACCTGAGCTAGATCTTAGAACTTTTAAGTTTCATGTGGATTCTAGGAAATGGTGTGCTTTTTGGATCATGAATGGATGGTAGGCTTGGTTGATCAAAAATGGTTCAAAACTCGTTTCAAATGGTGGTTCAATTCTAAAGTCAATTTCAATTTTCACAGAAAAAAAATGTTCAAAACTCTTTGAAACTTCCAAGACTTCCGAATCCTTTAGTTAAATGTTATTGCCTGTTTCATTGAGTGGTCTTTACTTTGAAAGTAGTTGCTTTATTCCAGAAGCGGGGAAAAGCAAGCAGAGAAAATTCCTTCCTTCTCTGGCTTTAAAACTGGCTTCTCTGGCTTGAGCCAAGGCCAAGAAATTCCTTACTTCTCTGGTTTAAATCTGGCTTCTCTGGCTTTAAAACTGGCTTCTCTGGCTTGAGCCGAGGCCAGGGACCAGAAGCGGGGAAAAGCAAATGAAGGAAATTCCTTCCTTCTCTGGTTTAAAACTGGCTTCTCTGGTTTTAAAACTGGCTTCTCTGGCTTGAGCCGAGGTCAGGGACCAGAAGCGGGGAAAAGCAAGTGGAGGAAATTCCTTCCTTCTCTGGTTTAAAACTGGCTTCTCTAGCTTTAAAACTGGCTTCTCTGGCTTGAGCCAAGGCCAGGAAATTCCTTCCTTCTTTGGTTTAAAACTGGCTTCTCTAGCTTTAAAACTGGCTTCTCTGGCTTGAGCCGAGGCCAGGGACCAGAAGCGGGGAAAAGCAAGCGGAGGAAATTCCTTCCTTCTCTGGTTTAAAACTGGCTTCTCTGGCTTTAAAACTGGCTTCTCTGGCTTGAGCCGAGGCCAGGGACCAGAAGTGGGGAAAAGCAAGAAGGAAATTCCTTCCTTCTCTGGCTTTAAAACTGGCTTCTCTGGCTTTAAAACTGGCTTCTCTGGCTTGAGACAAAGCCAGGAAATTCCTTCCTTCTCTGGTTTAAAACTGGCTTCTCTGGCTTTTAAACTGGCTTCTCTGGCTTGAGCCGAAGCCAGGAAATTCCTTCCTTCTCTGGTTTAAAACTGGCTTCTCTGGTTTAAAACTGGCATCTCTGGCTTGAGCCGAGGCCAGGGACCAGAAGCGGGGAAAAGGCAGAAAAATTCCTTCCTTCTCTGGTTTAAAACTGGCTTCTCTGGCTTTAAAACTGGCTTCTCTGGCTTGAGCCAAGGCCAGGGACCAGAAGCGGGGAAAAGCAAGCAGAGGAAATTCCTTCCTTCTCTGGTTTAAAACTGGCTTCTCTGGCTTTAAAACTGGCTTCTCTGGCTTGAGGCAAGACCAGGGAATTCCTTCCCTGGCTTTAAAACTGGCTTCTCTGGCTTTAAAACTGGCTTCTCTGGCTTGAGCCGAGGCCAGGGACCAGAAGCGGGGAAAAGCAAGTGGAGGAAATTCCTTCCTTCTCTGGTTTAAAACTGGCTTCTCTGGCTTTAAAGCTGGCTTCTCTGGCTTGAGCCGAGGCAAAGAAATTCCTTCCTTCTCTGGTTTAAAATGGGTTTCTCTGGCTTTAAAACTGGCTTCTCTGGCTTGAGCCGAGGCAAAGAAATTCCTTCCTTCTCTGGTTTAAAATGGGTTTCTCTGGCTTTAAAACTGGCTTCTCTGGCTTGAGCCGAGGCCAGGAAATTCCTTCCTTCTCTGGTTTAAAACTGGATTCTCTGGCTTGAGCCAAGGCCAGGGACCAGAAGCGGGGAAAAGCTGGATCATTCTGAGTCACTTCATGAGTCGTAACAAAAATGGCAGAAAAAGCTTCGGAAGGGCAAAGGGACTTTTGGTTTTCTTAAAAACTGAAATAGCTTCAAAAAGGTAATTTTTCCAACTTTATTCGGAATTACGAAGATTCCGACAGTGGATTCCTAGGAGTGTCTTCTGACTCTAGGATTCTATGATTTGACTAGATACTCACAGAAGTGTGATTCGGGCGATCGCAACACCTTCTTGGATTCCTGCCATATGGTCTTGCAGTCCTCCTGGAGCTTGTAGAACCTTTCCCTCCTCCATGATTCGGACTTGACTTTCAGGAGGTGGCTCCCCCTCAGGAGGAACTTGAGGTCTGGATCATCTTGCAGTCCTATAGAAGATAAAAAGGTAATCATCAACAACTAGGACACTCACATAAACATTCAGAAGAACGTCCTGACAGTAAGTTCAGCAATGGAATATGGTGCCTCACAGTCTCCTTCTCTGGAGGTCATCTGCCGAGAAGGTTTCACGATGCCTTCCTGCACAGAAGAACGAGGTTGGATTGGATGACCACTGGAGTCCCTTCTAACTCTGTGTTTTTATCATTTCAAATTGGAGACTTGCTTTTAAGGACTCAATTTCCCAGAATCGAGAACCTGACTTTGCTGGGATTCTGGGATTTATAGTCCTCCAAACTCCATCTCTGTTTGTATTTGATTCTTTACATTATCCTTTACCTATATAAATAAAATACATATGTATCTATGTATCTACCTATGTTTGTGTGCATTTTTCAAGATGTCTCCAATACCCAGATAGCCCTATGATTCCCACCAACGATTGATTTCTATCAGACTTGGCATACAGAATGACCAACTTAAAGTTCTGCTGGGGTTTGAGAGTGAATAACAGAGGATGATAGGAGTTATAGTTCACCCTTACTCAAAAAGCACTGTGAACCCCAGTGAGGATGGATCTGGACCAAACTTTGTATACATACCCAACATGACCAACTTTAAATACTGATAGAATTTGAAGGAAATTGACCCTAGATGTTGGGAATTGTAGTTCACCCACAATCAAATAGCATGGGGAACCCAACCTATGATGGATCTGGACCAAATTTAGTAAACATACCAAACATAACAATGTTAACTACTGATGGTGTTTTGGGGGGACTGACCTGGGATGTTGGGAGTTGTAGTTCACCCACAATCAAAGAGCACAGTGAACCCAATCTATGATGGATATGAACCAAACCTGGCACACATACCCAACATGTTAAGTACTGATAGTATTTTGTGGGGATTGATCTGGGAGGTTGGGAGTTGTAGTTCACCCACCATCAAAGAGTACAGTGAACCCAACCAGTAATGGATATGGACCAAACTTGGCACACATACCCAACATGATAAATGTTAACTGCTGATCGTGGGGGTTTTTTTTTGGGGGGGGGGACTTGACCTGGGATGATGGGAGTTGTTGTTTACCCACAATGCAAGAGCACAGTGAACCCAACCTGTTATGGATATGAACCAAACCTGGCACATACCCAACATGGGCAATGTTAACTACTGGTGGTGTTTTGTAGGTATTGGCCTGGGATGTTGGGAGTTGTAGTTCACCCACAATCAAAGAGCATAGTGAATCCAACCTATGATGTATATGGACCAAACTTGGTACACATACCCAACATGATAAATGTTAACTACTGATAGTGTTTTGCAGGGATTGATCTGGTATGTTGGGAGTTGTAGTTCACCCAAATCCAGAGAACACGGTGAACCCCACTAATGAGGGATATGGACCAAACGTGGCACACACATACCCATCATGATCAACTTTAACTACTGGTGTGGTTTGAGGCTAATGAGAGGTGGTGATGGGAGTTGTAGTTTACCCATATCCTTATGCATTTTCTAATGGATCTATTAATAAATTCCAAAACTAAACAATTATTATTTCTAATGTTTATCCTTACAAAATACCTAACCCAGGCATCACTGGGTACATAAGCTAGTAAGTTAGAAAAGGCATTGTGCGCCAGTATTGCTATAACAATGTGGGAATCACTGCACAAACACGTGGTCATAAATCAAACCAGACAACTAGAAGTAGAAGGAATCAGATCTTTCGCTAGCAGGATTATGAAGGATTACATTTGTCATAAGCACTCAGTTTGCTCAGTCATTTTGCGAGACACAGCAGCACCGTAATAACATCAAAGAACAGCCCTCTCAATTTCAACATCACTGTGATTTACGGATGATAAATGCCTCCGCGTGAACCAGAAAGGAATTCAGCCCAGCTGCCATTTGCTAAAATCATTTGTCCCCATGCTCAGCCTCCTCTTACATAACCGAACTCATAAGCTTTCACCTGATGATGCCAGCTCATGGATACCTGTACATCATGGTGAGCATGTGAAGGTCCATAATGTCCATAATTGCAATCATAAGGTATAATCATCTTAATGAAACTCATGGATGGGAGTCACCAAAGCTTTGTGTAACCACAGCTGAGACATAGTACAGCTGAGAAAAACGTTTGGATGGAAATGGCCCAGCGAATGATTTGAATGCTCTTTCCTCAGAATGATCTACTTGGAGCCCTTTGAGGCTTTCAACGGTCTCCAAGGGTGCATCTACACTGTAGATTTGAATGCAGCTTGGCACCACTTTACCTTCCATGGCTCCATGCTATAACATCCCGGTAGTTGTCATTTCACAAGCTCTTCTCTGCCAAAGAGTGAGGGTGCTTCACCAAACTACAACTCTCATGGGGTCATGGGAATTAAAGTGGTGTCAAGATGTGTTGACTCTACAGTGTAGATCAACCTTCCTAATGCCACGACCCCTTAATACAGTTCTTCATGTTGTGGTGACCCCCAACCATAACATTATTTTCGTTGCTACTTCATACCTGTAATTTTGCTACTCTTATGAATTGTCATGTAAATATCTGATATACAGGATGTATTTTCATTTACTGGACCAAATTTGGCACAAATACCCAATACGCCTAAATTTGAATACTGGTGGGGTTGGGGGGGCTGATTTTGTCATTTGAGAGTTGTAGTTGTTGGGATTTATAGTTCACCTACAAGCAAAGAGCATTCTGAATTCCACAAACGATGGAATTGAACCAAACTTGGCACACAGAACTCCCATGACCAACAGAAAATACTGGGTTTGGTGAGCACTGACTTTCAGTTTTGGAGTTGTAGTTCACTTACATCCAGAAAGCACTGTGGACTCAAACAATGAATTGTCATGTAAATATCTGATATGCAGGATGTATTTTCATTCACTGGACCAAATTTGGAACAATACCCAATACGCCCAAATTGGAATAATGGTGAGGTTGGAGGGGGGTTGATTTTGTCATTTGGGAGTTGTAGTTGCTGGGTTATAGTTCACCTACAATCAAAGAGCATTCTGAACTCCACCAATAATGGAATTGAACCAAACTTGGCACACAGAACTCCCATGATCAACAGAAAATACTGGAAGGGTTTGGTGGGTACTGACCTTGAGTTTTGGAGTTGTAGTTCACCTACATCCAAAGAACACTATGGACTCAAACAATGATGGATCTGGACCAAACTTGGCACGAATACTCAATATGCCCAAATGTGAACACTAGTGGAGTTTGGGGAAATATACCTTTACATTTGGGAGTTGTAGTTACTGGGATTTATAGTTCACCTAAATCAAAGAGCATTCTGAACCCCACCAATGACAGAATTGGGCCAAACTTCCCATGCAAACTCCCCATGACCAACAGAAAATACTGTGTTTTTTGATGGTCTTCAGTGACCCCTCTGACCCCCCACTTGCAACCCCCCCCCCCCCGGTTGAGAAACGCTCATGTAGGTGCATATTAATCTATGATTTTTATGCCGCTATTTTGATTGTTGATTGACAACACTATAAATGAGTAGGATAAGGAGTAATGATCCATACTACTTAAATTCCTTGGTTTGTGGAATTTGAGTGGTAGATTAGGGTATTTTTTTGGCAATTTCCAGTATTTTTAATTGAGCCTGTGTATTTTAAAGGAATATAAGAAAACAATTTTACTGAGCCTACAAAGTGACTAATGGGCTCAAACTAACAGGCACATAACATCTAAACTCCATCTCAGACATGAAATTCTTGGCATTCTTGGCCTTATCCAGACCTTAGAATGTTCTTTTTAAAAGGAACTAATTACTTTGCTCATCACTGTTTTAGCTCAAGGGGCCATTATTTATTCCTGAAGACCAGCAAGGAAAATAATAACCTAATTACTGAACAAATTACCAGCAATTAAAAGACTCCCATCTGCTTCCCCCAAGTGGTCAATTCAGACATTGCATCTTAGAGATTCTGAGAACAATTCAAAAGATGTGAGGCAGCCATCCATGTGACCTCTTTCTTTCCTCTCACATTGCTCAGACTGAGTCAGCACAGACACATAACAACATATATCAAAGCAGGTGACCTATTCCAGTTCTTCTGGAAAGTAGTGAACTACAGCTAAAGAAATTATAAGCAAACATACATAACTAGAGTCCAAAGTGCTCCTCCAAGAAGTAACTGGTTATCAAAATGACTCATCTGGGAAAATACCTTCCTTTCTAGATTTGCTTTTGACTGTTATATGCCTGGCTTAGCATAGGACTGGAATCAATCACTCCTTCAGATGCTAGACTGCAATGCCCAGTATTCCCCATTTATTAGTTATTAAGACTGCTGGGACTTGTAGTCCTGCAATGTCTGGAATACTGCATGATTCCCATCTGCATTTTAATAAAAGACAGAAGCTTGCATTTTTCTAGTTTGTGTTGAATTCCAACTCCCATCAGTCCTACCAAGAATAGGAAGCAGCTGGAGATGATGAAACTTGTAGTCCACCCACAGCTGGAAGGCTATGGGTGTTGTAGTAGAACCCTAAGATTCAGAACTCAGCAGGTGACTCTTTTCATGACAACATTATCATCATCTCACATGGTATGGGATCCTTTTTTTTTTTAGAGATTTTTCTATAATATCATAAACAATTGACCTTGGTTGAGTGAGAATGATGGGACTTATGGTCTCAAATACCAAGAGCGCCAAAGGCTCCTTTCCTCTCACTTAGAATCATAGAATTACAGAATCATAGAGTTAGAAGAGCAGTCAAATCACCCCTGACAGATGGCCATCCAGCCTCTGTTTAAAAGCTTCCAAAGAAGGAGCCTCCACCACACTCCAGGGCAGAGAGTTCCACGGCTGAACGGCTCTCACAGTCAGGAAGTTCTTCCTCATGTTCAGATGGAATCTCCTCTCTTGTAGTTTGAAGCCATTGTTCTGCGTCCTAGTCTCCTTGATAGATAAGATGCCCAATAAGAGATAACTAAAAAAATA